CTTATTCATGCCATGCTTTCATTTCTCAGTGCAATCAGACATCAAACTGCATCATTTTCAATAAAAAGCTGGAAAAATTGTGGTGTTCTGAAACTTTTGACCAATAATATGTTCTAAAATTTGAAAAAAACTGAAATGAAACCCTTTTAAGATGAAAAACTTGAAGCTGTGATTTGTCTGAAGGTTTGAAGGAGCCGTGGAGTCCGTGGTCAGAGTGTTCAGTGACGTGTGGAGGAGGATACAGGACCCGAACCCGCGGGCCCATACGGATTCACGGCACCACGCAGCAGTTCAGCACCTGCAACCTGCAGCCTTGTGGTAACACAGGAACAGCCTATATCATAATAATAACACAACGCTGGTGGCTGTGTGGATGCAGCGGCTGCAATAAGTGTCTGTGATGGAGGAAGAGAGGCTCCGGTGCATTTACCATACAGACAGTGATGCAGCTGCTCAGGACGCTCTTTCCATTACATCATACAGTCATGGTTAGACTCACTTTGAGTAGCTACAATCCTACAGTCTCAGCCTATTTGCACACTTTGTTTGGTCTTTGTTTATTCACAAACAGAAGTCACTACTGCTGACATCGTTCACTGTTCTGCAGCTACTTCTCACAAGAATCGAGCGAGATCCACAACAAACCCACAGAGTTAGCACGAGTCAATTGCAGGTGTTTCTCGAGTTTGTGACTCGTGTGATTTGAGTTGCTACAATTTGATGACTTGTTTAAACTTTACTGTAATTTATGTCTAGTATGGCACACAGTGCAAAATTTAAACTCTTCTTCATTTCTTAATTTTTTGCATATTTGTGACACTTAAATGTGTCACGGCCTTTTATGTTCCAAACACCAAAAAAGTCCAAGAAAAGGCCGTGGGTGGCAACAGGAGGTTTGTTTTAGAACACACTTCTGACTCCATTGTTTAAAAATCATAGGTCGTTTATTTCGTGGAAAATTATAAACAAAAATCAACCAAATAACTTCTTAAAACTTAAAATTAAATGAAAGTTATCTTAATTTGCTTTAACAACTTCAAAAGTGGTCAAAAAATCATTTTCTAACCCCCCCGTCCCCCCATCAGACATTTGGCAAACAAAAAACCATCTTTGCCACACCCCTCCAGGGTGCTCTTAACCCCCTGATTAATGGGAGGGTCCATAAGCCAATAAACCAATCACTTTCCAAAACCTTTTCCAATAAAATGAATTACAAATTTACATAACAAAACTAGGTCAGCATATTTACAACTTTAAAGAAAAAACAAAAATGAATACAAATTGCGTTTTATAAACATTCAACAAAAATGGCCACAACATAAATGTTTAAATTTCATTCAGTATTGGACATACCAGAGGAAATATAAAATGCAGTATTTAAATGATTATTTCAGAGCTATCCAAACCTAGCCGCCAAGGCGTCCATTTCGTATTTACTCAGGAGATCTTTGCAACTTTAAAATCTTTCTGAATTATTTGTCACAAATATGCAACATCTGAGACATCAGAAAGGGCTGAATACTGTTTCATGTGTGGTGTTTCCTTTTATCTGTTTGGTAACAGAGCCCTGAGTCACATTGCTCATGGGTTTAATTTCCTATGGCTGTTGTGTTAAAACTCAGATATTATGACAGTTACATTCTAATTCATACACTCACCGTTTCGCCCACTTTTCATCCCTTCAAACTGGTGTTTTTGGTTACGCTGTAAGGCTTTTAACTGCTCTTTTCTCTGACTCTGCTGCTGTGCTAGACGAAGGGAAGAAGTGTCCTCCGGGCCAGGAGTGGATGCAGTGCATGATGGGAGCAGTGTCGTGCATGGACCTCACATTGGATCTCAGCAGGAACTGTACTCCAGGATGCCGGTGTCCACAAGGGACTCTCCAGCAGGTGAGTGGGTGAACACACACATAAACAGATGGTTTGGGTACCTCTTTGCTCACGGGCTCCTATGTTCCCAGGACGGTGTGTGTGTGAGCGAGTCCAACTGTCGCTGTGATGTAGGCGGAGAGCAGTACAAACCGGGAGACACCGTGCCCTTAGACTGCAGTAACTGGTAAGTAAAGCTTCAGCAGATATATGAGCCAAACAAACTGTGCAGATTAAACACAAAAGTGTGTCAAATATTTCAGTACCTGTGAAGGAGGAAGGCTGGTGACCTGTTCCCGTTTTAGCTGCAATGGTATGTATTTACATAACAGCGCGATGATGTCTTTCGTCTTTTATAACGTGATTCACACTGATTTCGCCTGATTTTACCCCACAAACCAAACAGTCGATGGCCAGTGGTCAGCATGGACTCCCTGGGGTCATTGTTCGGTGTCTTGTGGAGCAGGCCTCCAGTCTCGGTACCGGTTCTGCTCCAGCCCCCGGCCCTCTGGCCGTGGCCTGCCTTGTACGGGCCCTCACCATGAGGACCAAGTCTGCATCATCGCCCCGTGTGACCGTGAGTTAAACTTGAAGTTTAATTTGTCTGGCCTTGAATCAGTTACTAGGAAAGTGATGCCTCCCTGTCGTACAGTAGGATGCAGTAAACGTCATGTTTTTAATGTGATGCGTTGGCTTTTTCCAGGTGATGGTGGCTGGGGTCAGTGGAGTCATTGGACGGAGTGTACCAAGTCTTGTGGTGGGGGGGTCCGAAGCAGAAGGAGAAATTGTGACAGTCCCAGTCCAGAGGGGGAGGGGAATTACTGTGAGGGGCTGGGAAGTAAAGTCACATCCTGTAACACCGAGCACTGTCCAGGTGCGTTTGTATTACTAGCATGTGCTGTCTGCTAGCTACACTGAGTACAGCGTGGTGGATTCTGTATTACTGATATAAGGGTTCTCATTCCTCAGTGGCTCACTGTGGGATTGGCCTGTGTGCTGATCGCAACGACCATGTCGGGCAGAGCCACGTACCGTTAAGTGGCTGCGACGCAGGCATTGTTCAAACACCTCTTTGTGCTTCAAGCTGCAATATAGGCTAGCTATTATAGCTGTCCATAGATATGAGTGCTAACGCTAACTTATCTGTCATTGTTACTTCATCCTGACCTTGAGTCTTCGCCATACACCGTGGTGTTCTACCACTTAGCTGTAAGCTGAGATGGTTTCTTTTTACGATTATGCACATCAGCTGACAGCTTCTTTTCTGTAGTTAGCATACAAGCTAACACAGACAGTCCTCCTGACATATACTGAGTAGAAACACACCAGGTTTACTTGTGTTGCCTGAGGCTAGAACATGCCCACAGCACGATTGAAGGCATTGGTTTATGTGGGCACTGGATGAAGATGACAATGAGGTCAGACCCCAGAGAAATCTTCATCCTCTACGCTGAGGCTGCCGAGCCTAACAACGAACGGTTCCTGGTGTGCACCAGCACCTGTTCCCAGCAGAGATAGAATATGTATTTAGTTCAAAATTCCCAAACAAATCAAGCTCTTTTGGCGGAGTAAATATCTCAGAAAATACAAATTCAGGAGGTTTGATTTTCAGGGCGTGTGTTACGTCTTTTGGCGGCCCGTCTCTGAGCCCTCAGAGCTTTTGTACAGTGCACCAAAGTGGTCATAGCAAGGCGTTTAGCTACATATTTAGACCACTGGCTAATTCTAATTTGGTCAGACCAAGAAACTACAACACAAGGATCTGTTGTCCTTGAAGCATCTTACCATACTAAAGGTTCATAATAAACACAGAACTGTTTCTCTAGGAGAACTTTAAGTTGTGTGTTCTCAGAGTGAGATGGCTCACAGCCCACCTTGTTGGGTCAAAGGGCGACGAGGTGCTTATCTTAAACAATAACTGTGTAGTAATGCAAACTCAAGTGTGATTGGATCAGCCCAGCGTGGTCGTGCATGAGACACATCCCTCTAAGGAATACGCAGGGAGATGCTTCCTATATTAGCCGTCTCAATCATGCTACTCTGAGAACCAGGGTTATGTAAGTAACCCAAAGTCCTGTATGCTTGTGTTTTCAGTGGCACCGTGTTCCCAGGTCCCAGGAACAGTGTTCAGCAGCTGTGGGCCATCCTGCCCTCGCTCCTGTGATGACCTTACTGTGAGTATCACTGGTGTGACTCCTGTCTGTCACTCTACGTATTTCATGCTTCTTATCCACAACCAAGTTCTGGAGGGTGTCATCAAAACAAGCTCAGTCCTCCCTCTCCTCAGCACCTCC